ATTCAAATGTTGTCCTGGTGTGTTACGAAGCCAACGGGGTCACTTTCGTACCCAAGGACATGAACCCCCCCAACGCACCGGAACGAAGGCCCATCGAAAAATACTGGACTATCAAGCAGGCACTACGAAAGCATCCCAAGGAGGTCAAATCTGAGAAAGACATGAAGAAAAAGTGGGTTTCATTACAGAAGAAGCTGCTGCCAGATGTTGTACAGAACCTAATGAGTGGAGTTAAGCGTAAGGTGTGAGCGCACGGTTATGGTATTGAAGTTGAATGAAATAAATATGCCTAAACTTACTAATGGGTTACATTTTATTGTCTGAAAGTTTGAAAAGAATCGGTCAACTAGGTAATTTTCTACAGCGTTCTTTCCGTGATGCAATTTGATGTGGGACACCCTTTAATTTGATCTTTTGCAGTACTATATATCCCGTATCCTTAGTTTAGTACATGTCTTATTACTCCATCACTATTGAGAAATGATGAAGTATTAGATTTGTTTACTTTTTTGTTTTACAATGCGTTTATTTTCCAGGCTCATTAGCTGCAGCTTTGTGGAGCCGATATTTATTGATTGGATTACAAAATTACTTAAAACTAACGATAGTAAAGCGGGGACCGATTACTCGCAGCTATCTCGAGGTTAGGGGTAATAAATTGTAACAAATGGATGGCAGGGTAGGGATTGTGAACACAAGGTTTCGAGCGCAATGTGCTCTTGATCTCAAACTAAGCGACACTCTGATGAAAAAGACAACATGGGGGTACACCGATGGGCAGCTAACAACTTGGGAGAACACAAGATGACACTAACTACCAAATCCTCAGATCTATACGTTTTAAAAACACTTAAATTAAATTCAAATATTCGAGGTCTTGGCTCGCCAAGACATTTCTAAAGGGTATCGCGGTCTGTTTCCCTCGGGCCCTGAGGGATGTGGATAACTTGGATCTGGCAACACGGTGTAAGGTACATGACCAAACAATATGCTCGATATCGTGATAACCACTGCCACACGCACATAAATTGCTGCCTGAGAGCCCAATTCGATAGAAGTGCGAGACTAACGAGCAGTGATTGGACATAAGCCTTGATATAACGCGTGTAAAGTTGCGGCTCATGTCCAACCCTTTGAGCCATGGTTTGTTTGACACCTGTGGGAGAATAGAATGTAACCATCTTCCCAAATCACCATCTTTCCATTTTTGTTGCCAACTGATGCGGACTTGCTGACGAGCAACGGAGAAAAATTCGTTGAAGGCAATTTGTTGCTCAATTGTTTACAGTAGTCATTCTTGGCTTTATCGAAAGGATCCGACTCTAATTGAAAGGTCTCGCTATTAATACCCTGTTGAAAACCTTCCAAAGGTGTGCACCTTTGTCAGTCAAAATTGGATTCCTTAGCAACAAAATTAAGAAATGAGACCGATAATGACCTTGCATCAGAACCCTAGTCTTAACCACTTCAACCTAGGGAACAACGAATAGAAGATTAGGAATCACATAGATGAAGACTAACTAACTCGTTTTGCCTTGTTTCAAGATCATCCTCGGTCCAAGCAACCCGAGAACTTATCACTATCAACAAAGCATACAAGTAAAAAGGACTAAGATGTGTTCCAGTGATTACTGAAAAATCCTGTTACCCTAGTTTGAAGTAGTCAGGACTAGGAGTCGGTGGTAGATCTTACATCCCGTAACGTACCACGAAAAGGTGATCTACCCACGTTACAGGGCAAATAAAACTTTATAAATACAAAACAAATATGATAAAAGACTAAAGTGTGATTACTTTAATTTGAATCAAATAAATTACAAGAATTCAAAAAATGATGAGATGGGCACTTTATTTTGCCTACCAGTGTAACTTGATTATGCAAGGTGGTTGTTCAGAACGGTGATAACTGAACGGCCGTAGTTTTGACAACGGGGTGCAGCCTACCAACCTTACGTTGTTGAAAACAAAGAACAATACATGACACACTCAATAGTCTTTAAACTACCATACACAGTACAAAACACATTACGATATCTCTTGCTCTAGTGAAAAGTGAAATCTAGCTAGACGCTGTGCGCGGAATTGTTGAATTATCAGATAGTTAAAAACACAAATAGGGACTAAAAATGTAAGTTCTGGTTAGTAATTACAATATTCAATATTAAAACTAGATTACTAACATTATTTGAACTTATGAGCTGCCATGAAATATTGTTAAACTTAATGCTAATAAAACCTATGAATTTCAGCTTGAAGCAAACTCCACCAAAATTCGAGTTTCGCTATTGGATTGTCCGAACTATTTCTTCGACTATCTTAACAGTGGTGTTCAATGAAACATTTTGAGACCTACCAGTTGCTGTGATCTCTCGGTACGTTCCGGACACGCATCAAAAAAAAAATAAGAATGTCACGGGTGATGTAAACATCCACACGTGTAAACTTGTTTATCTTTTCACGCAAACTAGCAACTTTCGAGCAATGTTGCATACAAAAATTATCGTTTTCATACAATATTCTAAATATTCCATAAATTGAGTCTTAACTTTACACGATGTTTAATGTAAGCTTATATGATGTATGACGCTCCTTTTGTGTGCATCATATCAAACAAAAATTTACACCACTTTTTCGAACTGTTTACTCTTGAAGGAGGATCAACGCATCTGGAACAAGCTCGAAACATATCCGGATGTGTTCAAATGTAGTCCAAACTGTGTGGCACTCACCTGCCAGGGAAGCAACCCCACTTGGGCCCTACGCATTGAACACATCAACTTAGAGATTGTTCGCATCAGCAAACCCCAACGACCTCGACTGGGATTGAACCCACGCCCACTTGGCTGAGAAAGCAGTCAAGCTTACCACTCAAGTACTGGCGCCGTCAAAACTTGGCCCTTGATATTTTTAAGTTAAGAAAGGAGTGTCATTTTAATTTATTGGCAAGGGCGCAATAAACCTTCACAACGCCGCTGCTATGACTTACATGATGAAGGCAAACCAGAAATCATTTTAATCAGTGTGGTTGGCAAAAAAGCGATGCTGGCAATATCGAAAGTTTTAATATGTTGTGAAATACGATCACTTGAACGCGTACACGGCAACGAAAAAAAAAAGGTTTGTCTGTATTAATAGTCATTTTTTGTCCTAATTGCTCAAACAGAAAGTTTAACTCCTTTTAATACAATTTCATGAATTTAGCACATTAAATTAAGCTTTCAGAGTAGCATTATCTGAAATAATATTTTTGTTTTTGTGACCAAAGAGACGGAGTAGGAGTCGACATCATTTCGCAGCCTCCAACTCCGATTTTCATGTATGTCGTATTCCTTTCGACACTGGCTTCGACTCCAGAGCCCTGGTCAGTGCTGGTAAATGTTGACATTTTTTCATAACCATATTCCGATGTGAAATTTTTGAGCTTGCTGCTAGCGACTTTTTAACGACCGCTTGTAAAAGCACAGAAGAAAAAAAACGTTCTAGCTTGCATTTCCGACATCCGCAAAACTGCTGCAAGATTGTGTATGACGGAAAAAATGTCATTGGAAGAATTAATTTATAATTCAATGAGTTATTCTGAATTTTACAATACATGCATTGGAGTGGATAATATTTATTTTTATCTTATGATTCCATAGCATAAACTTAAAATATATGCGGTAATTAGCCATAAAATAGCAAAATTCCAAACATCACAAACCCAGTGTCGCCCCGCTGGGCCTCGTTTTCTGTTTTGTGCCAAAATGGAGCGTAGCCGGCAGAGAAAACAGTTTAGAAATGCCACGACATTTTGCCCCGCTGCAAGTTGCTGATGAAAAATGTTAAAATTTCAAATGTACTAAGCCAGTACTGATACCAGCACTGCCCCTGGTATATTAGGTGATGTTACACACTTCGAAATAACTACTTTTACACGAGATGTAATCCACAGTGGACGTAAATCACGGAACGTAAACAAACATTTCATGTAAAATTGAGTATTCTCAAACCGAAACATAAGCATCTCGACGAAGAGAACGTTTGATTGAATTGATTTTCTCGTTACTTTCAACTGATTCTTATGTCAAAAGGGCCGCTTACATGTGTCGGCCTCATGAAACCGAAATTTACACGACTTTTTCGTAGTGTGTAGACCTTCCCATTAGAATACAAGTTTGCTCAACTTAATAAAGTAACCCCAATTTAGAATTCGATAGCTTTGTAATAAATCCCACAAGTGGTTGTCAACCTCCCTTCCGTACGGCTCTTGCCAGTAATCTCAATGGCATTATCTTCTTTTCCCGATGGAGTCACCCTACCGGCTGTTGTACATGCATGTTGTGTATTGTATTTTTTTTTTTCTCCCTCGACGAGTAGCACGCTGCATCAACAATGTGTGAAAAGGGTGGCGGCGTCGGCGTCGGATGGCGGTGGGCTCACGGCCACCCTGGCCGGTACTGGAAAGGTCTGACTCGGGATATGCTGTTGCTGAAGGCCGCCGGAAGCGCATAAAGTGCAATTTCACATACATATAAAATGTTGCTTGCAACCGTGCGCTTTTTAATAACATTGTTGTATAAATAATACATCGGAACGAAATTAATCTGCCGGTACTCATCATTATAATAAAATTATAATTATCCCAATTATGTGATTTTCGGGATGAATTTTCTTCGGCGGGCAGTGCTGCTGTCGATTCGTTCGGTGCTGTATTGTGCGACCGATGACAGGTTTTGGGTTTTTTTTTTTTAATTCTGGGTAGTTGACGATATGGGCGCTCTAGGGTGATATTTCCGAACATAATACACGATCGAATACCGCTCAATGAGGCGCACCTTTGCACTGAGCGAGCTGATAACCGCAATTAGTCAACGCACACATATAGTGGCAGTTATTTTATCCGTTTCGGGTACGGTGGTGAGGTATTATACTAAATATTTAAATGAAACCACCTCAGGAATGGCTGTCACCTGGCCGGGTGAGCAAAAGACAGAGAGATACGATCCAAAAGTACCACTTACCTTTTAAGGCAGTTTGCCTCCAGGCTTAGCGAGGTGCTCCGTTGCTCCAGATCGGCGGAGTATAGGTTGAAGATGTCGAAGGGAAAAATGGTGGCTACTTTTTGGAAAGTTCAACACAGTCACTTGAAATATTCAGCACTCTTATCAATCACCACTAAACACACCAATTTCAAATTCTAAACTTCCACCAACACGCCAATTCAAAATCACCCTCTTCAGAACAAGTCTCTAGACTATCTATGCTTTACACCGATGCGATGGGAGGAGCATACCACTAAAAGCACGCGACACGAGCGGAGCCACAGAACAGACTGAACCGAATGGCCGATTGCAACCAACCAGACAGGATTATGCTGCCGCCACTGGGGTTTCAATTTCAAACAACAATTTGCCTTCTTTGCACCTTGTTTTATCGCGCGTACATGTAGCGCTCTTCCGATGGTCTCTTTCGCTCTACACTCACTCTGCAACTCGGGCAATAAAGCTAACTCTGCTCCGGCACCTCGTGTGCATTCACACTTCGACTCTCCCGTAATTGAAACTGACGAATCACCTTAAAAACTTTATGCTTTTATGATTTATTTAAGTTCACACGGGGGACTCTCACGGCCCTCTCTCTCTCTCTCTCACGTTATGTTTCGCAAACACCGAACACAATCGAACTGCAAAGAGAGCATCTAACATGTTCTCACTCTCACTGCAGAAATTACCACGCGAGCTGGCAGCTCTCCCCTTGTGTTTACAACATAGCGGGCGAACTCGTAGGTCTCGTCACATAAGAACACCCCACAACAACACACCGTGTAGCACGAGGAGATCAACTCCAGGATTCGAGCCTACGACGAGAGAGGCCGAAACGATTCCAACAGCTGACGAACAGCGAATGAGGAAGTCCTGATGGTGGTCGGTATGTTTTATGCTTCCTTTGCATTGTGGTGCATCTAGCGGGAAGCGCGAATTTTTCTCACCCGCGTGTTTCTCATGTTATGTGTACCACGACGCTCTCCCGATTTCTATGATTCTAGTTATGGTGTGTTGTTGTTGTTGTTGTTGAATGTGTTTATTAGCAGCGTGCCGATACACTGTCGATTGAAAGTGTTTTGAGTTCATAATAACTACAACTGTGTTACCTGAGTTATAACGAATATAGGGTAACTGATGATGGTTGGACCTATTTAGGCCGGTTTCACACGACGTCAACATTCATGTCGTATTTTTTTTATGAATTCAACATATAATTATAAAAAATGCGTGATTAGGGGAAAGATCTACCTTTCTAGTTTCTAATAATAACATACAAAGTTAAATATTATGAACAAATGATTTTATAAAACGTTTTTATTCAGCAAAGAATTATGATGTTGGTTGGACCTATACTGATCTTGGTTGGACCTAATATATGATGATGGTTGGACCTATTTTTGCAAATGCTAGTTTAGCCCATATTTGTTCAAAAACTTTGTTTAGAGCTTATTGGTATCATGAAAAAAACCCTTTTTTACAGTTTTTATTAATTTGCTATTTAAAAAAAATCAAGAAATTTGAGTTTAACTTCGTTTTTAAAAAAGTTCACTTTGCACGCATTAGCTATTCATCATGGCTCATTTTCTCGGAAATCATTGACCCGATTTGGAAATTTTTTAGCGTCAAACTATAGGTATTGGTGTCCTATTGAAAGCTATTGAATATTTTTGGAATCGGTCAACTGGTTCCGGAGATATGGCCGGAACAAATTCCAGGGTATATGGAACATGGACCTAATTTTTACATGGAAGGAATAAAACCTATCATGCGACACTTCACATTACTTCCAAATTCGATAACAAGATCAATAACAAAATTGAGTGCCTTGGACCACATTGGCCACTTCCGGGCATGTTCTGGGTGCCCCCGGGGAATTTAGGGGCTTAAAATGACAGAATATCTGAACTTAATTCCGGTTGTATAGCTTTTTTTCTCCTAGGAGTTAACATTTTATTTCAAGTTAATTCACACACAGAAGGTGTATGAGAAGTGCTTAATGTAAATTCATATTAACAGATTTTTTTGGCGCTTTCGTGGTAGTTCGGAAATCGGTGGCTACCCTTTCAGCCAACCTGACGATGGAATTCCTCCTTTAAATTTACGCCCAACTAGTGACGCAATGTCTTTAGCAGCTTCCAAGATCGTTTTGGTCGTCTTGGGACTGCCAGAAGCAGCGCACATACAAACCCAATCCGCTAGCTGGTTCTCCAAATAAACACTCAACACTATTTCCCTTCAATATTTCTTGTTGTGGCTTCCCTTAATTTTTGCGTAAAGCGTCGTTTTCGGAATATTGTACCTTTTCTGTGCCTGATACGCGGTAAGTGATTTATTTCTTACTAAAAAAAAGCCTCTTGAAGATTTTCGACCGTATAACTCTTTTCTTTAACCATTTTTTCAATCGAAGAAACTGATCACTCGGCCAAAACGAAATCGAATTTCAAATCAGCTGCGCATGAAGGATGTAGACAAACCGAAGCGCACCTAGCGGCCGTCTTAGGAAACACATAGGTCCAACCATCATCATGCGTAGGTCCAACCATGATCATATTTATCTATTCGAATTTCGTCAATTATTCAAACATTTTAGTGAAACCAATGGATAAATGGCGTACTAACGTGTTTTTTACACCTTAAAGCAGTATTTTACTGCATGAAAATAAAAATAAATGTAAAAATATTCCTTTTTTTGTATGTTTGAAAGTAAGGCATGATGAGGAGCTAATGCGTGCAAAGTGAACTGTTTTGAAAACACATTGAAGCTCAATTGTTTTGAAGTTTTTTCAATAAAACACCCATGCAAATTGAAGAAAAAGAGTTTTTTATGATAGTAAAGTGATCTTTGAAAATAAAGAATTAGCGAAGATTGACTAAACAAGCGATTGAAAAAATAGGTCCAACCATCATCAGTTTTTGGATAGGTCCACCCAGAATCAATTACCCTACGTTGTATACGAGTACCCCAAATACAACGTATAGGTCGTCTAATTTTACATTGCAAATGCTATGCAAAATTAGACGAGTCATACGTTGTATTCGAGGTACTCGTATTCAGCGTATATTCGTTATAAATCAGGTAACACAGTAGAATGATTTGAGGTTACTAGAATTCCAAATAATTTTGACTCTATTCAATTCTAGATAAACATTTCAAAAGGTCCTATCTGCATTGATCGATTCTCTTCATCGACTACTTGACAAACTATGTGGTAAAAATAGCGTGAAATCTGTTTGCATAGCAGTGCTTATCATAAGAGAAAATCGATGAAGAGAATCGATCAAAGCAGATAAGACCTTTCGAAATGTTCATCGAGAATTGAGCTGTGATTAAGGTCTACCAAAAACTTGTGGAAGACAGCCGAGAAATTGCGGTACGTGGATGGCATTACCTGTATGTGATTCCTAGATACAGCATATGTCCGGTGCCACACTTATGTAGTAAATGTTTATAGCACCAGCCCAAGCAAATATTTCGTTTTCCGGATTAAAGAATCGGAAAATTTTGTAAATCAGAGGTATTCAATTATCCACTAAATATTTATGGCGGCCAAAGTCCCAATTTTAGTAACTAATTTCACGTAATTCAAATTCTTCTTGCGGGTAAAACGGTTGACATACAAAACATTAAATAACAGAAGGTCGAAAGGACCAAAAATCGAATGTACAAAAGGTCGGACAAAATGTCGAATTATGATACGACCCAAGTAGCACCAGTAACATCTTTTTATAAGAGAGAAAGAGAAATATGTTGCACAATTATTGGATAAAAGTAACCAAATTACATATTAAGTCAACATGAAGTAACGTCATAACCTTCTAAGTAACACAATGGTCATTGGTTAGTTCATAGTAAGATTGTCACAATGTTAAGATAAAATGTGACTAATCTGGTCTCAATGATGTCACAGTGTAACCTTTTGGTGTCGATCTAATGTTATCAATTGGTTGAACTGTAACTGAGTTGCCACACAATATTAACCGAACAGTAACGACCTGTCAAGCTCATAAAAACACTTACAATCTAAAGTTAATATTCATCAAGAAAACAGATATGAGTTTCATAAACTCCAGATCGCGTCCTTCCAAAAAATCTCGAACTGGAACATTAGATTGTCTACCTCGAGCCCGAAGGGAATCATATAGCTCAGATCTGAATCCACGATGCTCAGCACATGACCAAATAATGTAATCTGCGTCCTGGCAACCTTGTCCAGAGATTGCTGTCCCCCAGCCCAACACGAAACAAGTGAGCGCTTAACGAATAGTGATTGGACATGAGGCGAGACATCAGACGTATGAAGTCTCGACCCACCTCCAACCCCTATAGCCAAGGACTCTTCGACACCTTAGGGATAATTGAATATAACCATCGTCCCAAACTCCCTTCACTCAACTTATTCTGCCAGCTGACGAGTGACTGTTAACGATAAATGAAGAAAAATTCATCGTAGGCGATTTGTCGATCGTAAATATCGCCTTCGCAAAAGAGTCCGCCTTCTCATTGCCCGGAATCGAGCAATGAGATGGGACCCATGCAAAGGTGATGACAAAAGATCTTAAAGATAAAGCACTTAAAAGCTCTCGTATTTTCATGAGAAAATACGAGGAGTGCTTTACCGGCCTCATGGAGCGAATATCCTCGACAGAACTGAGACTATCCGTAAAAATAAAATAATAATCTGGTGCAAGTGAGGCGATCGTTTCTAGCGTATAATGTATTGCCGCCAGTTCAGCAACATATACGGAACAAGGAGCTTGAAGCATTCGAGAGGCGCTATGAAATTCGTTAAAAATACCACAACCAGCGGACGCCTCTATTAGTGATCCATCTGTGAAGAACGATCTTGCGGAATCAACTTGGCCAAACTTTGCAGCGTAAATTGACGGAGCAATCATGGAACGATGATGCTCTGGGATTCCGTGAATCTCTTGCGTCATGGATAAATCAAAATGAACAGAATTGTCGAAGTAGAAGAAGCAAACACGATAGGGATTTACTGCGAAGGGCTGACATCATGTGTTATGTACACGTATTTAGTACAATGACATAAAACGAGTTTGAGGGTTTAGCTCAAGAAGCTTCTCAAAGTTTGCAATCACCAGTGGGTTCATAATTTCACAACGGGTGAGGAACCTAAGGGACAATTCCGAAAACCGATCCGATAGTGGCAACATGCCCGCCAACACTTCGAGACTCATCGTATGAGTCGAGTGCATGCATCCTAACGCGATACGAAGACAACGATACTGGATCCGTTCCAGTTTGATGATGTGTGTTTTAGCCGCCGACTGGAAGCAAAAACTACCGTATCCCCACCACGTTCCGGTAATTGTTCGGAGAAAATTGATCCTTTGTTGGCATTTCCGCTTCAGATACTCAATGTGGGATCTCCAGGTGCATTTTGAATCGAACCAGACCCCAAGATATTTGAAAGACATGGAATGAGTGATCGGCTTACCCAAAAGTTGAAGCTTCGGTTGTGCTGGGCTATGCTTCCTAGAAAAAACGACCAACTCAGTTTTTTCCGTGGAGAATTCGATACCTAGCTGGATAGCCCAAGTAGACAAATTGTCTAAGGTATCCTGTAAGGGTCCTTGC